AAAAAAAAAAAAAAAAAAAAAAAAAAAAGGAAAAGGCTTCTTCATAAAGACAATATAAAGTGTGTCTAGAGGCCTGATTTTTGTGGTGGTCTCCAAAGTATCTTGATGAAATAAAAATACCAGAAACACATGCTGATAGTGTGGAGACACCACCAGGCATCTTTGTAGGAGTCATACTAGCTGGCTGTTTAGTGTGTCCATTGTTTAGAAAGGGCAAGTGGAGAGGAAAAGCTAAAAATCTTCAAAATCATTGACCAGAGAGCATTTTAACTAAGTTCATTGTATCAACTTTTAAAGTTGTTTGTCTTTAGTTTCCCCAACCCATCTTATTTACCGGAAGTGAGACTGAGCAATTCTGATTCCAAAGTAGCCGCAGACACTAGAGGACTGCTGAGCTTCATTTGTACAATGGAGTTGAGGGGATGATATGGACAAGGGTTTGGTTTCTATTAGGAGGTGCTATGTGCTGGGCCCTGTGCTGACTACATACGTGGTTTCATTTTCACTGTAATATCAGAGTTCTGCTGTCCATACTGTTGCTGAAGAAACTGAAACTCGGGTAGGAGGTGGCAGGTAGAGGTTAAACCCCAGTCAGTCTGCTTTGCACTTCAAACTGGCGTTGGTACTCCAGTGTCTACGCTTTACGTAATGAAAGGCCATCCACTCACTGTGGTGTTCTGTTCCTCCTTGCTGTCCTGAGTCCAGTGGGACATCACCTCCAACCCTCAGGTGATCATGGTCCAAAGCTGCTGGGCATCTTAGCTACTCTGAGATTTCACATTATATATATATATATATATTTTACATTTGTTCTTTCTGCACAGAACACATATCTCCTTATGAGATATATATCCTTTCTTTACTAATATAAAGTCATCAGCCTTTCTGTTCTCTTACATTGTTCTACAGGACAGATGTCAGCACAATCTCCTATGGCTTCTTACATCTCTAGATCTGTGGTTCATGTTGAGACAGAAACAAGAGACACTCCGCCCTCCAGGGTCTTCAGTGACAGTATAGGTTATTGTTTCATTTGGTAGGAGGAGAAGATCCATTCCCATAAGCATCTGGGAAACTAGCAAGGAAATCAAGGTCAGGCCACGCCTCCTCTTTCACGTTTTTTTATTGCTATGTGTTCCCAATACAACAAACAGCATCAGTAGTGTACACCTTGATAAAAAGGAACTTTCAGCTTAGTAGAAAAGAAAGCGCATAGGTAAAAAGTGGAAGGAATATGTACATCTTATGGGAGGTGTATGTGTGTGACCGTCTTCAGATTCCCTGTGGACAGGATGTATGTACACCCAAGTAAACTAGAGAGAATTTTGTTCTGGTGAAGTTTTCAAGAAAGAAAGATCTTTGTAAGGCTCAGGGATTGTTAACTATCAGGAAGTCACCTAACTTGACATTTAAAATTCTTGCATGGAGTAGCAGCAAATCTTTCGAGGTATTGAGTCATAGCTTAGACTGTTAATTTATGATGGTTACAATGCAAAAGGCCTTGTTCAGTGTGTGCTTTCAAAGGTTAACGCAGCTCTGCTTCAGTCTGCAAATTTCTAGATATGTTTCGAAAATGACTTCAAAAGCATGCTCATAACCCTTTTGTCTCTAAGTGCAATTCAGGAAGTACTCATTATATACTTAAAATATGTTTTGTTTGAGACAGGGTCTTGCTACATAGCCCAGGCTGGCTGCACACTCACAGCAAGCCTCCTGCCTCAGCTTCTGAATGCTTGGATGACAGATGTGCATCATCTTGCCTGGCTTTTGAAATGTTTCTTATTCACTATTTCATTAAACAGCTAGCTGAATTCCTGACTATTTCATGCATCCTTGAAGGGGAACAAATAAATGCTATATCCTTTAAAAAATGCAAATGCCCAACACAGGTGTTGCTTGTAATCCTAGTTTCTTGAGAAGTGACGGCAGGCAGATCATAAGTTCAAGGCCTGCCCATGCAACATAGGGAGCTCTTGTGTTGGGGCTACAGCTCAGTGATAGAGTGCTTACTTAGCATGTGGGGGGCACTGGATTTAATCAAGTCCTGCTAAATTTTTTTTAAAGTAAGAATCTGTTCAATTTGGGTTCTCTGAGTGGCCTGTGTGCTTGGTTTTACATTTGTCCTTTCTGCAGAGAACACAGCACACACCTCTAATTATGTCTCTCTAGTTTACTAAAATGTCATTGATATTAGTGTAAATATTAAAGACATAAAAAGACTATCAAGAAAAAAAATCAACTCTTAAAATAAATATCTTCAGATCTGTATCCTATATACAAGTACTGTACATCCACTCCATGGAGGGAGCATTTCTGGCTTTGTGTGAGCGTGTTGGTCACTGACAGAAATACCAGCATGGCACGGCAGTCAGATGCATTGTGGCTGTGAACATTTAGATATGAACCATGCAGAAAATAAATATCTCAACCATACCAAAGACACTTCCTTGAGCTGGCTTTCAAAGCACTCATGTACTCAGGTGGCAGTTCTAGCCTGATGATGCTTTTCTCAGCTAGGAAAGAACACACACAACGCATTTGTGATGATCACAGTACATCAAGTACAACTGTTAGCGCAAGAACCGGGCATCGTTGAGATGTGCACTGTCTCAATGATGCCCTTTGATAGGATGGCAAGAAGGTTGGGGTTTCTCTTATATAAGCTTGTCCACTGCATGCTGTGTGCACAAGCACATGGAGACACCAGTCCTGTTCCTTTTGTTGTAAGAATGGAAGGCAGTAGATACAATGAGTCACCTGTGCACCTGATTACACATGGCAAATCCTCTTTCTATTGTCAGTAGCTGCAATCCCAACTTCTTCATAATATTCTGCTCTGAAATCAACTCATGGAATGTCACATAAGGCAATACTCAATGACAGGCACCCTAGAACATCCAGGAATGTAAGATAGTAAACAATCATTTGAGAACATCTTTTTAAAATAATACTGATTTCTGCAATGTACAGTATTTACACAAGAGTTGCAAATTTGCTCATACAGTATTTCTAATATAGATAAATAGGAATACAAGTCTAAGAATTATTTCCAAAATTTCTTGAAGCGTAAACCACTGGCATCTGTTTGTATAATTTTTACTGTAGCTTTTTAAAAACAAAACAAAACAAAAAATCAGCTGATATGCACAATCGGCTCCAGGCTCTTTTCTTCCTTAGAGAGCAAGCAACACGTTTAACCATTTTCCATTTCTTTTCTGTTTTTGAGAGAGGCATTCCAGGCTGGCCCAGGACTGGCAGCTATTCTTTTGCCTGGGTTTCCCAAATGCTGGGATGCTAGGCCGGGGCCACTGCAGCCAGGCTCTTTCCTTCTGAAAACAGTCTTTGGCGCTTTCTTCCAATGGATTCTGGTAAACAGGTCGATGCAGAACAGGAGATGGATGGAAGCAACTAAAAAGTGAACCAGCACTTCCTGTCCTTCCATTGACAGAGGACATGAGTAAACCTTGTGTGGAGAGTCCTGCTTTTTAACAAGCTGTATGCACCATGCAGGGAGGGAGGCTGCCCAGGTATCCCTTTGACCTCTAGCCCCGTAGGTCCGCTTTCTCATCTCTCTGAGGTGGCTGACCTGACAGGATGTCTCTTGCTAATATTCCTTCCATCTTTCTTTGGGGTTCTTGCCTGGGTAGAAGCACCTATTGAATCACTGATAGCCGGGGAGGGGGCAGAAGCCCCGGGTGAGGCAGAATGGAAGTGATCGGTCTTTACAGATGAGGAGGGTGGTACTGACACCATCGTCTTTCTTCCGGCCTGCTGTATTTCCTTCTGGGGGAAGTTAGCACTAGGTCGGCTGCTGGCTCTGAAAGCAGCGTATGCATTTGGGTTTGCCACGGAAGAGATGCTACTCAAGGATTTCTTCTCAGCACGGGTCCCTGAGTAGTAAGGGAGAAAGGGTGTCGGCATCACTAGAGACCTAGGGAGGTCACTAGGGCCAAAGATAGCATCACTATGGATTTCAGCAGCTTCTTGAAGGTATGGTGGTGGCAGGGTCCCACTGCGCTTGCTACATGACTCACAGCACAACTTGTTATACCCTGGTATGGAGCAGTATCGTGCGAGCACCTCCATTTGACAGAATATGGACTTGTCGCCCAAGCATGGCTCATCTGAAAAAGAGTAAGAAAAAAAAAAAACCAGCACATGTTTATACATAAAAGGTTCAAAGAAATGACAATTATTGACAACTATAAATACATTCCAGTGATATATGAAATCAATACATGAGCCTTTGAATTACAAATTTAAACAACAGGATGAATTCACTGCAATAAGTAGTTGGTTTTCACTTTTGCTCTTTTATTTTTTTTTATTTTTATTTTTTTTTTTTGTTTTTTTGGGCCGGGTTTTCTCTGTGTAGCTTTGCGCCTTTCCTGGAACTCACTTGGTAGCCCAGGCTGGCCTCGAACTCACAGAGATCCGCCTGGCTCTGCCTCCCGAGTGCTGGGATTAAAGGCGTGTGCCACCACTGCCCGGCTACTTTTGCTCTTTTAAAAGTGGGACCTCACTGCATCACCTGGGTTAGCCTCCATACTGCATTGCCCGGGTTAGCCTTCACACTGCCCGGGTTAGCCTTCACAGGGTTGTGATTATAAGCACGTTCCACCACACCTGGCTGAACAAAGCAGCTCCATGTCTGCCTAGTACTTGGCATGATCATCATTGTGCTGTCTCCAACAGAAGTTGTCAGGTTACTGACAGCTTTAGACAGAACTGAGACATGGATAAGATTGTTGACAGGGAAAACTGGGTTCATTCTGAAGATAAGGGGAGCATCATTTTTAGTTGTGTAGCATTGAAGCTTGCCTTTCTAATAAGTTGCTTCTACAATAGTTTTCAATTCACAATTAAAATGAATATTAAACAGCCTTAGTGTAACTGATTAAGTCTATAAAAAGTTTTACCAAAGGAAGCAATGGCCACTTTGATTAAAATAGAATTCTCTGGCTTGAAAGCAAGTTTCATGTCTACTACTGGACATTCTTAGGCTCTCATTTTAAAACGAAACGTCTCTCTAAAATATGCCAACTTTATTCTAGGTAAGTCACATATTTACATTTAATTTCATGGAACTGACAGCATTTTATGTTTATACATAAGAACCAGGATATTTGTAGATACAAATGTGTCCCTGTGCCTGTTTAAAAAAGCAAAGAATTATGGCACCTATGGACCATCGTCACTTAAAGCCACAGCATGTTCTATTATACAGTATGTAAGAACGTACTGTAAGGTAAGGAATCTGTCACATAACTCTGAAACTGAGATGACCCTGTTGATCGTTCTCTTTAAGAGGGTCAGTTGATGGCAGGCTCCACCCTCCTTGCTTCACTCAGCATTCCGTGTCCACATCCTAAATTGTGGCAAGAATCGTATTGTCATGACGCTGACGGGCCTACTGTGGTATACGGAATTAGAATACTTTATGCTTGCTGAGGGTCAGAAGCTAGATGAGGTTATTAGTGACTGAGGATTTGTGGGATTTTTAATTCTTCATGTGTAAATGGCGTTTTCTGTATGCTTATCTAAAAATAGACAAACTGCTTCCGACGATGTGACTAGGGCTGTAGACTCTGGCTGAGAGAACCTTTTCACTTACATTCTTTTTCCCCATCACACTAACCCCATTAGCCTGTTACTGACAGGGGTGAGGTTCAGAACCATCCTCTGTGCATTAAAGAAGGTCTCAGGTGGGAGACTCATCTAAAATCGAGTACTTCGCCACTGCAGAGCGTGACTGATAAGCCCAAGTCTCACTAAGGCCAGAATCTGCTTCTATATGGAGGAGAGAAAGACACTGAGGACAAACAAGCTTCATGGTAATTTTTTCTAGGCACAGACAGGAAGGCCTTAAAGGCAAACGAGAATTATAACCAAATATAATCAAACAACAAAATCAATTGTTAAAGTAAATGTTCTAGCCTTCTCACACTACTGCCAGGTCATAAGGACTCTGGACAAAGAGCTTTATACCAGACCCCAAAAGTCATCGGATTGGTACAGTAGATTGAGAAAGAGGATGCCCCTTACCTGTTTGACTGAAATAGTGTAGAACCCTGAGACGCCTGAACTCTCAAAATTGGCTTTAGACCTAGAACTCAGAGCAGTACAGCTCTGGAAGGGAACATGGACACACTAACTACCACAGTTATGCTGTCTCCTCAGCACATTGACTTTACAAGACCTCCACCTACTACCACTAAAAAGGAGCAAGTGAATCTGTGCTGACAGGCAGCCATTCACACAAACAGGGCCTGCCCTCCTAGCTAGTATAATCAATGGGTCTACCTGGAAAGTGTGCAGTCTAAACAGGTACAACTACAGATGGCAAATTATTACAGCGACAGTAAGTTTTAAAGCTTCTAATTGGGTGCCCTTTGCTTTTTCATCCCTTCCATACCAGTTTCTACATTGAAAACTCTCCAAAAGAAACAGCTAGATAGATAAGTCCTATGTCTCCCCCCCATGGCCATGGTGGTTCTTGCCATTTCAAATGACGATTGTTTCCGATGTTTAAAGACTGGAAGCCTAAAACGTCCAAAACACAAAATTATTTGGAGAAATAGTACTTTGCTAATTTTCTTATAAATTCTATAAGATTTTCATATTATTTAGGGGTGTAGATGCAGAGGGAAAATCTTTTTAGTCTTGGGGCTTACCAGAGTGTATACTAAGGTAATGGGGGGTAGAGAGAAATAGAGGTACATTGGTCAAGAGATAGAATAGATGTCAGGTGTCTTTCTTATTGCTTTCTACCTGAAACAGGGTCTCTGCTTCCCCAGAGCTGTGATTACAGGTGTGTGCCGCCGCCATTCATGAGTGCAGGGGCCGGAACTCAGGTCATCGTGCTTGTTCAGCACGCACATTGCCCACTGAGTCAGCTCCCCAGTTTATATTTTAAATATAATATATTGCACTTTCAAAACACGACTAGCTAGTCACTCAGACAAATGCTTGATTTTAGCACATGTACAAGATGTCTATTTTGAAATCACTCTTTATATGTATAGGCAATTATTAGGAAGGGCATTAAGGTTGAGTTCTATATATCTAAATAATTTTTGTAAAGCATCTCAAAGCCTGCTGTAATAATTCTAACCACAATTCCACATCATCATAAAGGTAAAGAATAGATAAAAATAAGTAGTCCCCAGGAGAAACTCACACTGTAAGGAGATGCATATGTCTGACACAGCCACACACAATATCACCAGTGTACTGCTTTTGGTAATTCAGGGATGCTGGCCTTATTTCAGACAATATTCTCAGACGATTATTTTCATTTGACTATTTCTTGGTAAGTGAATGCAAATTCCAAAGCTTATCCTAAAAGGAAATGCTATTTTCGAAGGTTCAGCAACATCAAAATGGTAAGATTGATTAGTGATGCACTTACCATTACAGGGAGGCAGCTGGCAGGGTCTGATGGACTCGGGCTTTTCACCGTCACAGTGCTCTCCAGTCCTGCAGAGAACCTGTCTCACCTCTGTTCCTTCTCCGCAGGTCACTGAACACTACAGAGACAAAGGCTGAAATTACAGACGTTGATTCTCCCGAGACCAGGCACATGCACGCTTACAGGGATCTCCCCTGAAACACACACACACACACACACACACACACACACACACACACACACACACACACAGACACACCACTTAGCAACTCTGGAGTTCCCTCTCTATGGAGAAGGTGCTGCACAAAGGTCCTGAGGCCAGGTAACCCTGGGTTCATACACTGGCTCCCTTGCCAGGTCCTGATATGCAGCCCCCAACTCCTTTATTTTCTTTAGAGAGAGCAGAATTTACCAAAAACTATTCCCAAACTAAGCTGAGAAACTTCTGTACTGTTGAGTTAGGCAGGGCCAGGAGAAGCTTAGTTCTGGGTCTCTAGGGGGAATGGACAGTAATTTTCCATCTTATCACGTGTGGCTACTGGTCCTTGCCCATTCCTTGCATGTTGGGCACGATCTCCACTTTCTCCTGTACCTGCGTTTTGATGCTCCAACTTTCTATAAGCCCTCTTATTTTGAATGCTTAGAAATATCAAGAACAGTGGTAACATGGACAATAAAACAATAAGTCAGCCAGTCACCAAATACTGTGGGACCCCAGGCTATGGCTATGTATTGGGGAAGCAAGGCATTCTGTCATTGGATTGAGGGTAAGAACAGACTAAAACAGGAATCACAATGCTCTTTCCTCAGCAGCAGTCTAGAGCTGATCTGGTCCCTGTCCTTTAAAGGCAGAGAAGGACCTGCCAGAAGGGACCACAGATAGGGAGAAGTTTGGACTATGGTGATGAGCTTTGGTGGAGTGGGAGATATTGCTAGACCAGAGACAGGGAAGAACAAGCCACATGAAAGGAGTAGGTGTGAAAAAGCATGATTTGGAACACAGAAAATTTACTTTGTCAGCTAGAATGAAGATAGAGAGGAATGTTGTGTGTGTGAGTGTGTGTGTGTGTGTGTGGGGGGGGTACTAACTTAGCAGGGCCTTGCATTCTGTGGTAGACTGGAGCTTATGTAGGAAGAGGGGGAAGTCAGTGATAACCTCAGAAGATGCAGGGCCTCTCAGATGCCTCCATGTCACAAAATACCTACACGTGATTTGTTCCTGCCACCCATTCTTAACGGCAAATGCTGTCTTAAAGTGTTAATTTTTCCTAGCCCCTCCAACGTGATTAGAAAATATGACAGTTTCTCCATTCACACGCTGCATACTAACGAATGACTCACTTCATTCCAGGGCCCCGTTTTCCACTGGGCTGGGCAGGGGACTCGGTTACAGGGCCGGCGGCTCTCAGGACGCTCCCCCAGGCAGTACTTGCTGTGCACAGAGCGGTTGGTACCATCATGGAGCGGCTGGAGGCAGCGCACAGTGCGGAGCTGGTAGCCCGAGGTGCCGCAGCTCTTGCTACAGTGTTCCCATTCTTCTGCTGCCCAGCTGTGGGAGCAAGAGGAGCAGTGAGGTATATACACTGTGAGCATGCCCACAGTGCGATGCTTGGGCACATCCCTCTTCTGAATGAATGCACCTTATGGGGGAACAACTTTCTGACAATGGGCCCAATACTTCGCTTTTGAACAACAAAAGGATTTGTCTTTTACACTCTCATTCATGAAATATCAAGCTTACTCACTGTTTCTTTCACTATTATTGGACCTTAGTGAGACTGAGAGAAAAGTCATACATGCAGTCCTTGATAGAAAGTACCTCCTTGAATGCACCTAATAAAGCTTTCTGAGAGCAATTTTCAAAACAGCTTCCTATGGAGCATTCCCAAGTTCTAATGTCACTGTCAAGGCCTTAACGCTGAGAGTCAGCTATGATTTCAACTCTCTCATAAGACATCTCTCTAATTAGACACACCTGAGGCCTTCAAAGATGAGCACAAGTCCTGATTTCTAAATGCCACATCTCACTTAGACTAGATCAGTCTTAAACTGCAAAGAGTACTAAAGTGTCGACATGGTTGTATGTTAGGACTTCATGGTTATAGAAGGAATAAATAAACTATGTGCCTCAAGTGTAGGCATACTGACTAACCAGACAGAAGAGGGAAATACTGAAAGAAAACTCAAAGGATGCACAAGGTAAGAAACACATATGTATGGCATCTAAGAAAGTGGAGCTCATTGACGTGGGGACAGAAGAGAATATGGAGATGACAAAGGAGGACTCAGCTGCCTTTAGAGAAACTGTTTGGTTGATCTACTGAGAAGCATAATTAGTGTAGCTAACAACAGTGTGGTATGTATTTCAAAACTGAAGATTTTTACAAGTGCATACCACATAGAAAAGCCAAGTATTTAGTATAAGTAGATATCAATTACCTCGATTTTAACACTATCAAAATATACTTGTGCATCATAAATGTGATTATTTGCCATTAAATTAAGTCTACAAGTACACAGCACTCTAGAAAAGATGCTCATGCTGGTCCCTTTCATCACTGGGAAGTTTCTTTCTGCGGAGAACAAGGCTCTAAGAATTTAGAAAGACAAGCAAAATTATGTCCTATAGAATCAAGAATCAAAATATTTTCCAACAATGCTGGAGTCTAACCAACAATGGGACAGAGATTTTGAGATTCTAAGGGAAAATATAGAATTATGTCCTTACATGTGTGTCTCCAAGAGGTCAAAGGTGAGAGCAGGTGGCAATGCATTTTCCATAACTATATACTTGAACCTCTTAGATGCTTTTCCCAAGTGTCTAAATTTAAATCTTCTATATAAAATGTTTTCTGTTATACTTTTTTTCAAGTTCCTGAAAAAACTAGTACCTCTTGGAATGGATGACTGAACCAAGAGACAATGTAACCAAGTCAGGAAACCAGGGTACTCCAAGGGAAAGGTGAATGTGGGTCAGGCTGGGACAGAACTCTGTAAGTAACAGGGTACCTGAGTGTTTAATATTTGGACATGAATGGTTTTCAAGACAAACAGTTTCACAAGAAAGGAAGCTACATTCTGCTCTTGCAATATGACTCACCTGTTGAAATACATGTGGCAATCAGCCCCAGATATCACTATCAATAAATTAAGTCCATATTGTTAGAACCAAGAAAGAAAAAGTTAAGTGTGGTCTGTTGGGGCTGTCAAAGAATGCTTCATCTTTGGAAGAAACTCGACATTTAATATATAACCTGTCACTTCCCCCAAAAGTCAATGAGTAGAAGGTAATACTTAGATAATAGCAAGTAGCTATCAAATATCAAAAGGAACAGAATAGCTAAAATATATATTTGTATTTCATGAGTAGGAATGTAGGGAAAGTCAGGGAACCACAGCTTTATACACTCCTTATATATAAGACTGACTACTTAAACAGGTAAATGTAACAGCTTTGAATAAAATAACACTTTAAAGACATCCCCACTCCGGCTATGGCAGCAGGGTGGTATGATTTAGTGCTTACAGCGGGTGTGTGCACTCCTGAATGTTGCACATGCGTCTAATGGGTTTTGGCTTTTTATTGACCTCACAGAAGCTGCGATGAACCATTTTACTGTCGCTTTTCCTTCGGCATCCATATTTTGTATACTGGAAACCTGGAACAGAAAGTAAGGTTGGTTTAGCCACTTACTGATGTTAACACATTTGAATACTGGTTCATACATTCCTTTAGCGAATATCCGAGCACACATACTGTGCTCGGTACTATCACACGTGTTCCCATTTAAAAGAGACTGAAAATGAATGTAAAACGAAACAGCCCATTTTCTCCGGACTTAACATTTAATAAATGTGGAAACTTGTAAAGCAGTACCTGTGTACTTGCCAGTGAAGAGGGAATGTCCACAGTGAGGTGTGAGAGATGGGTAAGAAAGCCACTGTGGGGATCAAAGCTGAGCACAGGCCTTGACACAGCTCAGTGATGAACTTTCCACGGGGCCAGAAAGGAACACACAGAAGAAGCCCCCAGCTTAGTTGATGGCAAGGGACAGGGGAAGTCTTATAGACCAATACCTTCTTGAGCAGAACGATGCAGCTCAAACTGTGTTGGATAAAGGAAATTGCATGCCATCCATGTCACATGCAGGAAAGAACATGGGTCAGGTTAGGTGCCTCCGGTGGGTGGAGAACATGACATGTATGAAGAGGAAGGGGGTAAGAAAGCATCAGATCTACAAAGCCATGGGCCCCAGATAAGCATTTGGGCCTGAAGGTCATAGGGAGTGGTTGACCAAAGAAGGTCTCCCAACATTCATTATTCTGATATATGTAAAACAAACCAGTTTTTAAAAAACTGATTATTGAAGGCCATGGCACTGTTAGAAGAAAAATGGTGTTTGCTGTCAGTGTGCAAAGTCACCTTAAATAGCTGTTGGGGAAAGGGCAGAGCACACACATTGTGTCTAGTACAAAAAGAGGATCAGTGTGGGAAGCAGATCGTCTTCCTCGCAAGTAGAAACCAACCCAAGCTGAACTCTTTGTTTAGTGGTTCAATTTAAAAAAAAATAGTTGAATGGAAATCATGAATTGCATGGCATTCTTAATGCTGATTTGTGGACTAAATGGACGTTTTTCTGTCTCCTTCAGTGTATGTCTGCCATCCTAAGTATAGTATATTCAAAAAGGAGAAAGCAGGTTTGCTTTGTATTTTTCCAGTTGTTCTTAGCTTTCAATGTTAGAATAAATTTAAGTTTTATTCATGGATAAAATTTCTGTATGGAAAATTATTCTTGCTTATTAGCTTTTATGGCAACTAAGCTTTTAAGAATAAATGCAAACATGTACCATTAATAAAACCTCTGGTGTAAAAACAACAACAAACCCACAGACAACAAAAACTCTTTACAAATTGAAAAGTTTATAACCTCTATAAAAGTTGTAAGGAAGCCAAGTAGCTATATGAACTTAGATTAATCATCACATTTACTGTCCAAATTAGTTTGCCATACATGCATTTTTTCCAAGTTACAGACTTCTGGATCCTTCACTCCTAAACATTTCACATTACTACAAAATAATTTTTTAAATATAATGTGTAGGTAATATTCAAAACCTGCCATTGTGGCGATATGTTGCTTGTAATCTAAGAAATAAAAAGCTTGCCTGAAGACCAGAGGACAGAGCTAGCCACAGAAGTCAGGCAGTGGTGGCACACACCTTTAATCCTAGCACTCGGGAGGCAGACAACCATCTGGATCTCTGTGAGTTCAAAGCCACCCTGGACTACAGAGATTAATCTACTCACAGAGATTAATCCAGTTTAAAAGAGAAACAGCCAGGCAGTGGTAGCACACACCTTTAATTTCAGCACTTGGGATCACAGGCCTTTAATCCCAGCATTAGGAAGGTTGAGACATGAAGTGGTATGGCTGGGCAGAGAAAGGAATATAAGGTGGGAGGAGACAGGAATATCAAGTGGGAGGAGACAGGAATTAGGCCCTTTTGGCTGAGGACTCAGAGACATTCAATCTGAGGATCCATGGAGATGGGATCTTCCCCTGTTGGCTGAGGAGTTGGCGAGGTGAGAAGTGGCTGTGGCTTCTGATCTTTCAGCACTTACCAACAGCTGGCTCCAGGTTTTTATTCTAAGACCATTTAGGATTTGTGCAATATGCCATTGTCCTTGTCATGTTTCTTTCCAGCCAGGGACTGTGCGCTTCGTTTAATTTCCAAGTCTCCTCAGCTTCCACCAGCAGGAATAATTTCCCAAACTGCATCTTTGTGGCATTTACTATTCTTGAAACATATTTGCCAGGCATTTTGTACAATGCCATTACAATATGCATTGTTTAATGATCCCTAATGATGAGGCTCAGCTTATTAACTTTCCACAAGAACACTATTTGAATGGCTTTCTGTCTTCAAGTTCACATGTCAGCCGACTGAAGGATTTTAATTGGGAGAACGATATAATTCTATCCACCCATTAACTTAAAATCATTATCATGTAAATAGAGAAGCAAGTCAAAGTCAGTAGAGGAAATGCAATAATCTGCTCTTCCAAAACAGTGAGGGAGGCCTGGTGAGGCAGGACAGACGCCCTGCATATTAAAACGTCACTGATAACCCTGAGGACCATGTAGATATCAAGCATACAAAGAAGAGGACTCAAATTAAATCAGCATCTATCTTGAAATGAGGGAAGAAGTACCATTCTTAACAGTCTCTGTCCAGAAACACTAGAAATGGTCTGAAAGTGTAATGAAAAATGGATTTACCCAGAATTACCTACTATGAATATTTTTTCTCTTTATTCAGTATTTAATTGTGTAGTGATTACTGTAACTATTCTGTCATTGCCTGTTTAGTGCTAGAGTATCTGTTGTGCAGAACTAGACAAGTAGACAATGGGAGGAACTGATGAAACAGATCCATCTCATGGATCTGTTCTGGGGAAATGAGAGAAGCCACCCCGCACAGCAAGGCAGCCTGTTAATCAGTGAACCTGGTCTGAATCCTGTTTTTGGAAAACCACTTCCTGTCCCTGTGTTTCAATTTCACCATCAGAATAGAGATAAAGATAGTACTGACACCACAGAGCCATTGTGGATATCGACACATGGAGATATGAAGCATTCCGTATGGCGGCTAGCCTCTAAAACACAGCATCGCCAGATCTATAGTCAGAGGTAGGTCACTGCTGATCTATAGTCAGAGGTAGGTCACTGCTGATCTATAGTCAGAGGTAGGTCACTGCTGATCTATAGTC